TGTGTATGGGAGTGTGAGTGTGTGAGAGTGTGAGTGAGTGTGTGTGTGAGTATGTGTGTCTATGTGTGTGTGTGTGTGTATGTGTGTGTGTGAGTATGGGCATGTGTGTTTGTGAGTGTATGCGTGAGTGTGTACTTAAGAGGCTCTGGAAAGCACATCCTTGGGTCCTGTCCTTCTGTTCTCCTTGTTCAGATGGCACTGAACCCTCGCACATGCACTATGAGCTGGATGAGAATTATTTCCGAGGCTATGAGTGGTGGCTGATGAAGGAAGCTAAGAAGAGGAACCCGAACATTATACTCATGGGTAAGGTAAAGTGCTTACGACTCTAACTCCTTAACTCTTAAATTTGGAATCATGCTTGTGAAGTCTCTTTTAATACTAAAGTACTAATTTTTGGATATTACCCCTGTACTATCAGCTATGAAACATACACCAGGAATGAAATTTCATTGTTACTGTTTATTATGTTGTATCTCCATGCCTTGATTGACTGATTGAGTTTTGAGATAGAGTCTCCCTTTGTGACCTAGGGTAACCTGGACCTTGCTATTAGCCCAGACTGACCTGCCTCATTCTCCTGCTGTCTCTGAAGTGCTAGGGTCGTAGGCTTCCCATCATGCCTGGCTTGTTATTTTTAAACCTTGGTGTCTTAGGGTATCTATTGCTGTGATGAAACACCATGACAGACAATGCAAGTTGGGGAGTAAAGATTTTTTTTTCTTTCCCCTGTCTTACACTTCTGGATCATTATCATTGAAGGAAGTCAGGACAGGAACTCAGTCAGGGAAGGAACTTGGAGGCAGGAGCTGATGCAGAGGTCATGGAAGAATGCTGCTTACTAGTTTGCTCAACATGGCTTGCTCAGTCTGATTTTGTATAGAACTCAGAACCACCAGCCCAGGGATGGTACAAACCCATAATGGGCTGGGCCCTCCTCCATCATTCACTAATTAAGAAAATGCCCTACAGGCTTACATACAGCTGGATATTATAGAGGCTTTTTCTTAATTCAGCTCCCCTCCTCTCTGTTGACTGTACCTGTGTCAAGTTGACATAAACTGTCCAGTACTCTTGGTGATGTTAAGATCACCACAGACTGGGAATTCTAAACAAATTCTGTATCCATATTCTGACCATATTGGGCTTAGGTATTAGCATTGGACAGAACTGGGTAGTTGCCCAAGCTGGCCTGTATTTATTTGACAATTCTGTAGCAGCATGAAGTACTTTAAATAGCCAGAACATAGGGCTTTTATCACTTGAAATATATTTGCTATTTTGATTACTTTCAGACTGAGTTAAATAAAATTATGACCTATTTTAAATACCTTAAGTTACTGAAAATTAGTTCCCTTGATAATTAAAGGATAAGAGTATTACTTTCCAAATTAAGAGAGCAATGAAGAATGCATTCCTCCAAATGGTTTTTTATGAGAGATTCCAGAAATGTTTGGAACAGTCTAAGCATCACTGACTTGAGCACATGCTCTCCACTGTTCTGTTTCCAAGGTGAACCCTCATGTAAATGTAGACATTCGGCATGCTAACCCTCATCCCAGCAAAGACTCATGGTGGACCTTCACTGTAAGCAGTGCGTTGTCTTTAAAGGTTCTCTTGTTTCAATGTCATACTTTTTATGTAGTGAAATTAGCTTAGAAAAAAATACTGTGTCAAGTTGATTTTGATTTTTGTTTTTAGCAGCAGACTAGATTGGTCATATATTTAAGTGGTCATGAGCTAATGAGCCTGTTTCCAGATATTATAGCTGAAGTAGGTAGTATAGCTAGTGCCTTTCAGTTCTCTCTCCCAACTTCACAGGCAAGGGTTACTGAGGTCATGCACACGGGTGATGTTCCCTCACCCAGCAGCACTTTCCTGTTGACTCACTGACTTTTATGTGTTTATTTAATGGCTGAGTTAGATTTGCTGATCACGGTTGCCCGACCTACTGACAATTAACCTAAGTTTGTAAGATGATATTCTGAGTGAGAACTTTATGTTGCACTGATCATACGAGGATTGTTTTGGAATAAGCCTTTCAGGGCTCCTCAGTTTGATCACAGAGAACAAGAGTGTAGTAGTGAACATCCCTGTAGAGAACAGAGATGGTAAAAGGTGCATTTCTTTCTCTTAGAAAATGCTGTGAGGGAGTTGTTTTTTATTTAAATTTAATTTTCTTGAAAGGACAGTTGGAAGTATAGGACATAGCTGTCAGGATCAGTAAGAAATCTTGGTTTCTATTGAATAGAAATGATGTTTTGCATTTACATGTGGTGTCTCTCCTTTCAGCCAGCTTTCCGTTGGCCTTTGCCTAGTGCCCTGGTTTCTCAGCTGTCTCAGCGGTGCCAGCATGGTCTCATGTGCTCCTCTTTTGCCTTTGTTCTCCCTACAGGGTTGCCATGGTCATTCCCTGGATGGCTGGGCAAAGGTTTCAGCTGGCCTTATGTCAACCTTCAGCTGACGGCCTACTATGTTGTAAGATGGATTTTGGGTGCCAAGCATTATCATGATCTGGACATTGATTATATTGGGGTTAGTAACATAGTTTAACATAATTTATTTTTAATTTTATTTTTGTATACGTATGTATAATTTCAGAAAGTAATTTGATTCATTTTTGATCCTTTAGAAAGACTTACAACCATACTTTAGGTATAGAAATATGCTTTACATATTGTATAATCCCATAACAGGGTGTTTTGATGTAGGTTTTATTTTTTATCTTTTATTATGCATGTGTATGGGTGTTTTGCTTGCATGTATGTCTGTGTTCCATGTACATGTAGTGTCCTCGCAGGCAAGTAGAGGACATCAGGTCTCCAAGGACTGGGAATTACAGAGGGTTGGGAACCTGACTGTGGGTGCTGGGTGTTGAGCCAAGGTTCTCTGGACACTCTTCTTCTCTGGAAGCAGTTAAGAGATCTTCACTAGTGCTTCTAACTACTGAGCCATCTCTCCAACCCTTTGTTATAGTTTTCAGAAGAAAAAAAAGAGAAATATTTTTAGTTACAAAACTCAGGCCAGATTTTTTTAAAAAAAAAACACTTTTTATAAATTGATCAATAGGAAAAATATGTTCAGGGACTAGTTTTATTTAATTCCGAGTCAGTGGAGTTGAAAGGAAGCCCAAGCTTTATATCATTGCCTCAAGACATAACAAATCCTCCCCCCCAAAAAAAACCACATGTTGCCTTTTTTAGGGAATTCATAAATGGTTCTTGTTATTTCAATAAACAGAAAGTTGAGCTCATGTATCTACCATGAGAAACACCAAACCAGCTAGGATAGAGTTGAAACTAAAAAAAAAAAAACTCAGTCCTTCCTCCTACCTAATGCTTGCGGCCGTGACTTTGTTGACTAATCCTTTTGTGTCGTGAGACCGATCTGTTATTTTGATGTCTGATAACATTGCAAACTGAACTGCAGCTGACCTCTTACCTCCATTCTCTGCCAATCTGCTCTTTTCCTACTACTTTCAAGATTCTAATCACGTCAGCCTCTTCCATGCCTCCCTCTAAGCCCTCTCACACGCCACTCCTGACTCTCCTGCACATTCACAGTCTCCTTTTTTTCACTAATTGTTCCTGCAAGCATATATGTGTATGCATACATATATATTCCTACGTACAATCTGTTTAGTCCATATGATGTACTTGCATGTATGTTTTCAGGGCTGACCATTTGGCCTTAGACAACCAATTGGTGTGCTGGGCTCTGGAGAAGACCACCCTCCCCCCTCACAGCTATCCTCCTCAGTTGCCTACAGTTCTTTGAGGCCTCATACTCCCCCACCCCCAGCTCTTTACCCGCTCTTCAGCACGTCTGCTGGTCTGCTGGTGGTGTCCGTTTGCGCAGTCGTGGTGGTGAGACTTTATGGGTGTCATTTGTGACATTCCCGAGAGTTACAATCTCACAGCAAACTCTCTGAGCCTCTAGCTCTTACAGTCTTACTGCCCCGTCTACTGCTCTACCGGAGTGTTGTCTGAGACTTAGGTGTGTTGGGGAGTGTTTTGTAGATCTAGCCATTGGGGCAGGACTCCACAAGTCTGCATTTTGATTGGCTGTGGTTAGGAATTTTTTTTTTCTGTACCAATCCAATTCAAATTCTCCTTCAAAGCCTTTGTTGTTGTTTGTTTGTTTGTTTTGGTTCTTTTCTGTCTGTTTTGTTTTCTAAGACAGGGTTTCTGTGCATAGACTTGACTGTCCTAGAACTAGCTCTGTAGACCAGGTTGTCCTTGAACTCACAGAGATCCACTTGCCTCTACCTCCCCAGTGCTGGGGTTAAAGATGTGTGCCAGGGCTGCCTGGCTCTCCCTCAAAGCTTTTTATCTAGTTTTTAAACAATAATGTGGTTCCTCTATACTTTAAAACTTATTCTCATTTTGATGCATTTTCTGTTAGTGCCATAAGCCAGAGATCACCTGAATTTTTTAAAAAAAGAGCTAGTGCATAAATATTAAATTGGCATTTATAGGTCATTGGCAATTAAGATACATAACTATTTACAGCGTGAAGCTGTTTTTTTACTCTTAGATCTTGAAAATACAGGAGATGGACAAGATTTTGCAGGCTGCTAGAAATCTGCCTCCTTTGGTCCTAAACTGTTATTTAACATCTTTTAATGTGTTAAAAACTATAAAACATTATATTGCAGCTTTACTGAGTTTGACTGTTGGAGGCTAGCCACATACAAACTGTACCCCAAAAGTCTCATACAGAACCATAGTGGGTCTCCATAAATATTTGCATTTTAGTACATCGTTGACTAAAATTGATATTGTATTGAAGTTTTTAATGCACTCACAATATAACTTATCAGCAAGCTTGTCCTGAGTTTCTACTGTGGTAGAATCATGGCTGCCCTGTTCCAGCAGCATCATGAGCTCTTGTCAGTGAGAGACGGATACTGATGCTGACCCGTGATCCTCTTACGGGATGATTAAGGCATGAGGCGCTGGCCACAGGAAGGCAGTCAAGGCATACTGCTTTCCATCTCCTTTTTCCAAAGTACAACTGACCGTTTGTATAAGGGAACTTTTTTTTTTTTAATGTTGGAATGTTTAACCCATTAGTGTGGTTAAGTGCAGATGGATCTCTTAGATTTCTGATATGGTACATGTTCACAAAATATTTCCTGTGAGATGATAGTTATCTGGTTCATTTTAGTCTCTGGTTAGTTACACACAGCGGGGAAGCACATTTTAGATAAATTCTTTATCACACCTATACTCTATACTCATCTCTAGACTACAAGACTAAAGGCCCAGAAGTTCCCTTTCAGCACTGAGACCACACCCTCAAGATTCTGAGCCTAAGAGCAAAGTCTGTTTCCTCTTACTCTTCCTCAGTAAGACTCTGCTCTTGTGTTCTTGCAGATCATTATATTCCTCTGCATAAACAAATTCCTTCTAAACCCATTCCCTGGCAAATAATTTGCTTTTTACTATGTCTATATGTTAGAATTATTGCAATGAGTCTCATACCTGTTTGTTCTCCAATGTCCAATGTAGGCTTTGTACACATAATAATTCTAATATTTTTTGCATGGCTATATATTCTGTTGATGGAAATCTCTGGAATAAATGCCTTATTTTGAAAAAAAGATCTTATGTATATGAGTGTTTGACTGTGTATATGTATGTGTATCGCATGTATACCTGTTGTCCACGAAGGACAGAAGAGGGCCCTGGGTCTCCTGGAACTGTAGTTAGTGATGTTGTTGGCCACTACAGTGTACTGGGAAGTGACTCTGGTCCTCTGAGAGAGCACCAGGTGCTCTTAATATTGTGCTGTCTCTCCAGCCCCATAAATGCCATTTTGAGAAATATTTTCTTTAAAACTTTAAGCTGTTAAAAGTTATTTTGCTTTATGAAAGTATAAATTCTACGGCAGCAGTTTTTAAAGATTGGGAACTAGCTCATTAGATAAATGAGACATGGTGCTTCAATGATTGTGTTCACTTTCTGACATCTGTAAACTTTCATTTCAGACATTTTGAATTTTTGTTTTGCAGATTTGGAATGAAAGGCCATTTGATGCCAACTATATAAAGGTCTGTAAAATTAATCTCTTTTTGATAATACTTCCATACAAAGACATTTGGAGGACAGTTAGATTAGAAATCTTATTTTTGACAACATAGTTAATTTGCTAGATACAAAATTAAATTCTTAATGTCTATACTCCTGATATTGAAAAATATGTATGTAATTCTTCATAGGTCCTGAATGGCCTGTTTATGAAGAGTTGGGTTGAGTGTTCTGGGTTCCTTTTTTTTTGTTTGTTTGTTTGTTTTTTTTTTTGGAGTAGGGTAGGGTTGTGGATAACAATGGAATTCATGCTTACTAGTTACATCTTCAGCATCAAAAGAAAAAACAAAAAAAGCGTTAGGTAGGCAGGTAGGCATAGTGCTACATACCTTTAACCCTAGTCCTTGGGAGGCAGAGCCAGGGCTCTAAGGTTTTGAGGCCAGCCTGGTCTACACAGTGAAGTCAATGCTATAGAGAAAACTGATGTCAACAAACAAACATGTATATGCATAGAGAGGTACATGTGTATCTGTATGATCTTAGCTTTAGAATTCTGATAAGCATTAAAATGATTAGATTTTAAAGACTGAAGAAATTTAGCTGTATTCTTTATCATATTTCTGAATTTCCTTGAAAGACTCATGATAATGTTGGAGTGTGTTCTGGCTACATTTTTGGCTGTTATAAAATATTCTGATCCAGAGCAGCTTTGGGAAGGAAAGGACTTATTTGGCTTACATTTCTAAGTGAATCCATTACTGAGCCGAATGCCAATTTAAGGAGCATGGAGCAGAAACTATGGAGAAGTGCTGGTTGTTGGCATACTCTAGGGTTCATGATTAACTAGCTTTCTTATACAACCCTCTGTCTAGGGATGGTGCTGCCCGTTATGGATTGGGCCTTGCCAATTGGTTAGCAGTCAAGGTAATCCCCCATAGGCAAATCCCTCAAACGAGACTCTCATGTGACTCTAGCCTGTGTCAAGTTGACAGTTATAGGTAAGTAGGGCAGAATATGTTATATAACATAGTTCTGTGTGAAGTCACTGGAAAGATAGTATGCAGATTTAACAGTCTTATCCTGCACCACGTTTTTCAGGGCATTTTAACACCTTCAAGTCCCTCCCAGGATGTGGTTGCTCTTGTCCTCAGTTTTAGGAAACAGAAAACTGAAAGTTTTGATTCCTATCATTAGAAAAACCCAGTAGTTTTACTTTTCAGATTGAGCCATTTACTAGCTTATTTTTTATCTCTATTTGTCTTGTCTCATATATGTGTACTGTGTTAGGTGCATTTTAACAAGCCTATGTTAGAAGGAGGTAGGGTATTGTTTTGAGGGGATCCCTGGCAGCCACAGTGAGGTGACTCAGTGTCAGTGCCAGGCTGCAGGCATGAGGGAGGACGGTAAAAGGTGATGTCAGCACAGTGGCAAAGGTTAAGAAGTAGTTTATTCTGGAGACAAATGCAAGTGACATGGTCTAGGAACACAGATTTTTCTTACTCCAAATTTCATGTTCAGTGTGGAAGCAGATTTATGAAGTTTCATAGTAACAGAACAAAGAAAGTCCTAAATCAAGACACTTGTCAGATGCATTAGTAGAAACATTAAGTAGGTGGTCACAGCAAAGTAGGAAGATCAACTGTAGGTATCAGATGTGGTCTGATGACACTTTGGGCCTGTTGGCTGGTAGACAATAGAAAGTAGTTAAGTGCTATATCCCCAGATGCTTTATCTGTTAGATGTGGAGTGTTAGAGGGCTGAAGGTAGCCCATGAGTTATACTTAGGCTCTGGACCTGACACATCCCAGCCTCTCCCCATAACTGAAGTTCTGATCAGTCTTCTGTGTCTTCCTAGTTCTTGTTCACAGAGGTGGAGGACCAGTTTGGGTATGGGAGATGGCACAGTGGGTCTATTAGAAAACTGAAGCACAAGATTATTAGTGGGAGGTCATGAGTTTTATGAGTCAGAAAGAGGCAGGAACAGAAGCCCAAGTTAGTGCATGCCTAGCATAGTGCCCATGGTAACAGGTTTGTTTCATTTGGGGGAACATTAGCATTATTAACATTTGGTTTCCATTTTCTTTTAAGTTAGCGATTGAATTGCTGCTCTGAGATTCACTATCAGTGTTTTTGAGTAGTCAGACTTCATTTATTTTTCTTCTGACCTTGGGTTTTCCTAAGTGTCTCAGGATATAGAAGCATTTAATTTATGCTTTCTATTTTTAGAGCAGAAGGGTTTATTGGATTCTGTGAACTGTTGAAATTCCTATTGCAGAGTGAAATCATGTACTCAGTTCATGTGACCTTAACAAATACATAGTCCCTATTGTGTGGTGAGATGTCTTCTGGAGAGAAGAAGTGTTTGTTCTTAAGAATGAAATATATATATATATATATATATATATATATATATATATATATATTGCCAGTTATTTATGTATTCTGTCAAGTGTATCACTTATTTTGGGAGTATTTTTGCTATGTAGTTATATTTAAGATTGACTTTGGTTTCATGGTAATTTGTAATTATGGTGTCTGGAAACTCCCTTGTAGTATCTGAGAGCTTTAGACAGATGTGAATGTGTGAATCTCTGGGCCTCTCAGACCATCCTGCCTTCTTTACCAGTAAATGGTTAAGTGGATGTGGTTTGGAGAGGGAAGGGGTGTTGAATAAAGATGGCATTTGAGACATCATAAAACTCTGCACAGGGTGCTGTAATCATGCTGACTGTGAGATAGAAACTGATTCATAAATCACAGCCTACAGATTACATGCATTTAAAAATGTTTTCAATTACATTACATTTAAAAATATGCACAAAATTCCTGATGATTCGTTAAGTGTAAGTTCATAAAGACTAGAAGTATTGACAGTGGTAAATGAATACAAGATTAAGTTTTTTCCTTTCTGTAAGAATAAGAAAAAGCATGAGTAACAAATAACCCACAAAATTGATTTCCCAGTATAGGGTAAGGGACTCTCCATCCTACTGACCTTTTAGGCTCAACTGAGAGTCCTTGAGATATGGGTTCCACTTGTCACTCTATCCGTCATTACGTTTCCTAACCTAGTACAGTATACAATGTCATAAATTTAAAAAATTGATTGTAAAGTATACCATGTATCTAATTATAGAATTTATTTGCTTCTTTAAAAGTACATTTGTTGGAAATTTCATTTCTGAAAAATTAGAATATTAAAAAAAAGAGCTAGTGAAAATCTTCATTTTTTTCCTTATGTTAATTTATCCAGCTGTCATTGAACACCTGGTATGTATGCCAGACTTTCCAGTATTAGGAAGATTTACAGTGGGGCTGATGGTACCAATTTACCAATAAACACCTTTGGTATAGAATCTGTTCCTTCAGATCCTGGGTAAATTGGTGGCCTTTCCTCTGTCCCTGTTTTCTACACAGACAATCTTTCTATTTTGCTGTTCTGGTGAGAATTTGTTTTCCTGATGGAAGGTTGTGTCAGCCTTCAGATGGCTCTGCAATTGATCTTATTTCCTATCCTGTCTATATAAGCATGAGAAACACAAAAGCAAACATGGATACTTTGTATTTATAGTGAAGATGGCATAGAAATATTTAAGGACTTATATTTTCTATAATAATAGAAATTTTAAGTATACAGAGAAATACTTAAAATACGATGTTGGAGTATTTTACAACGTACTGATAATGTTTCAATTTTATCATTATGTCTACATAGAAAATTTGAGGAAGAAAATATACAGGAAGAAAAAAGTAACCATAATTTCTACATAACACTCTTTGTTGAGTTTTATGTACACCATCCCCTCCAACTCCATAATTTCTGTTGTAAGCTTCGTTTTAAACTCAGTGGGAAGATGCCTCTAAAACGTTATGTCAAAAATCCACTCCTGTGAGAAGCAGTGCTGCCATGTTCATTAGAATGTAGAATTTTGAAAGATACAATGGCTACTTTGGTCATATCCCAGTAGCTAGAGGCTCGCTTGTAACTTTTGTGATGTCCTGTTTATGTCTCCCAAGGAATTAAGAAAAATGCTGGATTATCAAGGTCTTCAGCGAGTGAGAATCATAGCGAGTGATAATCTCTGGGAGCCAATTTCGTCTTCCGTGCTGCTTGACCAGGACCTCTGGAAGGTGGTTGATGTTATAGGGTAAGGTGCTATTTACTTTGAACATCAACAGTTTGTGGTTTCTTTATCTGGGTGTTGACCATGCCTTTCTTCTGGCCTTCTCTGCCCCTTTGATTACACACCTATGGCCATATTTACTTAGTAAGAAGTTGATTCCTTTCACTTTGAGATGTGTATTTGGGGCTCTGTGACAATGAAATGCATTGGTGACTTTTTAAATAAATGAGTTAATGTTTAGATTAATAAAATAGGGCTTTATTTAGATTTAAATGCAGGTATTTAATTTTAGATGTTACTAAGGCAATATTGTGAAATTAGTACCTAACTCAGTTTTCCTGTGACTCTGTTCATGTGCAGACAGTTAGTTATGTGTACTGACTATAACTATTTTCTTGTATCCTTAGTATTTTGACTCTTAGACTTTTGCCTCTATTTCTTTATCCACTTCTGCCTTACAGCTCTCTGGGTCCTAACTTTGTCCTGAATTGTGTTCAGCAGTTTGTAAAAGTAAACAGATGTTCTATGTATCATGACAGCATATAAGCATTTGAAGCCTGACTGTGTATGAAATTTGATTTTTTTTAAATCACTTGGGAGATAGCTTAATCTCTTTATATGCTTTATTTCTAAATGAAAAATCTTGGATTTTATTTTATTATTATTTTTTTAGTATTGTATTTTTGTCTTCCATTTTCAGTCTAGGGATCAAGGCCAGAGCAAACATGTTAAGGCAAGTGCTCTACCAGTGAGCTATATTCCCACTGTAAGAGTTTTCAATGTATATGAAAGCAAGCTGAATAATAAATATGTATGTTCTGATCACTCAGCCTCTGACAGTAAGAACCTGTGGCCATTCTTTATTCCTGTGTCCATCCATTTCTTTTCCCATCTTCTCTGTGTTCTGGAAGAGCTTTAGACATTGTGCCATATTTCCTCTGTACAGATTTTATCATGTCTCTCTAGTGATATAGATTCTTTTCCTTTTATCATAAATAATACCATTATTATAAATAAACGTAGTTGTTTCTTGATATTATCAATTATTGATTATTGTTTTATAGTTTAATTGATTGGAGTTGAGTCCATTTAGTATTAATATATTAAGTCTATTATATATTAAGTCTAATATATATAATATATTATATTGATATATTAAGTTTAATATTAATTATTAATTAAGTCTCTTCCAATTGATTGTAACTCAGTCCCTTTAGTGTCTGGCTTCTTTTGTCCTTGTAGCTTACTGCAAAGCCTGGATTGTTTGTTTGTTCTGTGGTGGTCTCTTAGTCTAGATTTTACCAATTGCATTCTTGTATTTTATTTAACATATGTCTGCTCTATTTTTCTGGAAAAATTGATGTGATTAAATTTGACTTTTTTTTTTTTTTGCAAAAGTGTAATTATAAATTTATATTTAAGCACTTCACAGGCTAAAATGGAAGATTTTGCATTTCACTAGGATGTATGTGAACAGCTCAGGTCTGAGGGAAGCAAGGGTGTTCTTGAACGATGTGGCTAGGAAGACTGTTGAGTTGAAGGATAGTTTTTATTCTACTTCAGGAGAACATTTGCTGTCTGATTACTCATCACTCATGCGAGTTTTCTGGTGCAGTTGCTTTTCCTCTGAGCCGTTTCTTTAGTTCGTAGTTTCTTTTGCTCACATTAACTCATATAATGGTAAATGTTTTGTTTACATTTTTTTCCTAGAGGATTGTTTTCTGACTTAGGGTATGCTTTTCTACTAGGATGCGGATCAGGTCCAGTATATAAATTCACTGATACAGCTGTATACTAATTGCATTGCTCAGGTGATCTGTGCAGAGCTGCCATGCGTATTTCCTCTTCCTTCCTTCAGTCCTACAGTTTTGTCTGTGAGGCTTGCTGCCCTGTTAGTCGCACATAGATAATGTTTTAGATACATTTCTTGCATTGAATTAGATTTTGCTTTTTAATACTGCTCTGAAAAATCGTTGTATTTCTTTTCTTTTTAAGTGTTTAAGTGTGTGTGTGTGTGTGTGTGTATTTATATGCCTCATGTAACATGTGCCCTTGGAGGCCAGAAGAGAGTCTTGAATGCTTTGGAGCTGGAATTACAAGAGTTTGTGAGTTGTGTGATGTGTGTTTGGGAACTGGCTTTGCAGCCTCCGGAAGAGAGCACTGCTCTGGTAACCACTGAATCTCCAGCCCCGTAGTTACAATTTATGATATAAATGATGCCTGTGTTCTCTGTGTTACAGTTATTTTCTGTTACTGAGTGATCTAGATTATGATTCTGCCAATGCAAAAACCTTTTGCTATGGTGTTCGCCTTTTTGGCGAACATTGAATCTAATTCAAAGCAAGAAATGTATCTAAAATAAACTGATCTTGAAGGTAAAAGAATTAATTAAAAGTAAATAAAAATGAAAGCAAGATTCTCTTAATTACATATAAAGCATAATTCAGTGTAAGAAATACCAAATGGATCACAGGATGGCATTTTCTATCGCCAATGGTTACAAAACACAGAGATAAAGCATGATCTATGTACAAATAACAGGGCAGCAATTAACAGTTCTTAAGGAGAACCTTTAACAAGACTTGTTCTTGTTTCTGCTGTTCGCAGTTGTTCTGGTTTATAGCTCCATAAGAGTTACTTTAACTGGGGATAATTTTATCTCATAGGAAATGTTTGGCATTGTCTGGGTGTGTTTGTAATTATCATAGCTAGGTAAAGTTGTGCTCTTAATATCTTGTGGGTGGATGTCAAAACTATTTGCAAACATTCCTGCATACACATGTCAGCTCTCCCATGTAAAAAATTAACAAGCCCATAATTTCCATCATGCTGAAATTGAGGAACTGCTTTATGCTCATATGCTGTTCTGTTTGTTGTTGGTTATTTTTGTAACAGTGGTAATGAGACTCAAATTGTATCTGGGGTTGGTATTCCACATGCTGGGCGATTACTCTTTTTGGTAGTTTGGGTCTAAGTCATAGACTTGTAGCTAGGCTACCACAGGGTGAACATCCATATGGACCTATCACCAGGGAAACTGTAAAGTACTCAGTCAGGTTGGAAACCTTTCTACAAATTTAATCAAATTGTAACTACTCATCTGACCTCTAACTCCAGCAAAAAGTTTGCCTATTTAAGAATATTAAGATAGCATTTATTTCATGTTAGAGAGTAGCATTTCTCTGTACTGAACACTTAGAAATTTACCAAGAAGGGAAACAAAGCAGTTCTCATCTTTTTATCATAGCTTTACCAGAAAGAAAACAATTATGGAAAAGAATGTTGTGTCTTTAAGGTTTGCAAATCAGTCAGACATGTACACCATCTGTAAACAAGGGAAACATTTCTCTTTAATGTCGTCTCTGAACTTTGGATGAACTTTGAACTGCTAGCCTGTTGGATCGCGTATATACATTTACTTGTTCTAATTTATGAAATGATGCACACCTTTAGTCCCAGTATTCAGAAGGCAGAAGCAAGCAGATCTCAAGATTTAAACAAACTGTTTGTATAGATGCATTGTTGGCTTTGTAGGATGTTGATTTTTTTTTTGATTGGTCACTAATAAATTCCAGATAAGAAGGAAAGGCCTTTATTGGGTTTTTTCTTTGTTGTTTTCTCTGGCCCAAGGCTGATCTCAAATAATCCTTCTGACTTCAGCCCAGGATGTGATTACAGGCCTGAGTCACTGCGTCTATCTGTTTATGATCTTCATTCATGATGACACTCTACATTACGGACACTCCTCCCTAGGTCAGAATGACCTAGAATAGTCAGGGTTTCTGTTGCTGTGATGAAGCAGCGTGACCAAAAACCAAGTTGGGGAGGAAAGGGTTTATTTGGCTTATATTTACAGATCATAAGCCATCATTGAAGGAAGTCAGGACAGCAACTCAAGTTGGACTGGAACCTGGAGGCAGGAGCTAATCCAGAGGCCATGGGGGAGCGGAGGTGCAGCTTAACTGGGTTGCTCAACCTGCCTTCTTATTAGACCCAGGACTACCTGCCTTGGCTTGCAACCACTCAATGGGCTGAGGTCTCCCCTTCTCAGTTACTAACTAAGGAAGTGCCTTACAGCCCCCACGTATGGAAGCATTTTCTCAGTTAAGGTTCTCTCCTTTCAGATAACTCTAGTTTGTATCCAGTTGACAAATAAAACCAGCCAGTACAAATGCTTACCCTAGCTAAGCAATTTTGTGACTTCAGATTTCAGTTTTGTATGAGTGAATTTTAAATCCTTTCTCTGTGGCTATTTGGATTTTCTAGAATTTGGTCTTCTGAGATAGTCGCTCCTTAGCTCCTGCTGCCGTAGGCAAATGTGTTCCTTCTGGAACCATTCATGTTGCCTGTGGCATGCGCTGTAGCTGCAGATGTGCCTACATCTGTGTAGTTACATTATGTAGTCACTGTACCTCCTGGGATTTCTGCCAGGCCCTAGTGTCCGTAATGCTTTTGTGTACCTTCCCTCAGTGTAAATTCGGTTGTCTTATTTAGTTTGAATTCTGCTGCTGGCATCTCATTCTCATGTAAACCTCTGCCACTCCCGCAAGGATTGTCTGCTACCTGTTGGTGAACTTGTGAAGGCCTTAGGCCTGTACTGTCTGATACAGTAGCCACCAGTCACATTTGTGGAGTACTCCAAATGTGGCTAGTCTAACTTAGGTGTGTGAAATACAGAAATACAGCTTTGCAAGTTAATTTTCAAAACCAAAGAACAGCCTTTACCATTTTTATATTGATTAAATGTTGAGTGATAATTTGGATGTACCAGATTAAATTAAGTAATCCAAAATATATAAACAAAGCTCAAAGAGAAATATATGGCATATATTTATGATGAGGAAGTTATTAAAAATTTCAGAATTTGGAAATATTTTGGAAGATATGGACCCTTATAAAACAGAGTTAAAATTTACTTCTATTGTGACCTTCTAAAAATCAATGATAGCATAACAAATATTTCTAGAATTTTTTTCCTTTAAAACATATAGATACAAGTGTATTTTTATCAGATACATCAGACAAGCCAGGTATTGTGGTTCATGCTAGCACTCAGGAGGCTGAGATGAAGGGAGGTCTATTGAGTGTGAGGCCAGCCTGCGGTTACATAATATATTTTAGGCTAGTTTATGCAACAGAATGAGACTCAGTTTCAGAAAACACATAAACAAACAAACAAACAAACAAAAAAATGATATATCAGACATTATTTTCTGAAAGTCTACTAAAAGATCCTAATTTTTACTATATTAACATTTAATATCTGACTGAAGTGCCAAATTGGACACTATGATCACAGCGTAAAGTTAAGGGATATAAGAATTAAATGTAAAAATATCTTAGAACTACAGGTTTGCAGTCATTAGTAATTTTAAGATTAGCAGTTTGTTTTTCAAGTTTGATGGAATAGATAAGTTCATTAATTTCTTAACCCTAGAAGGAGCTAGATGCTCTCGGATGTTTGTAATGTCGGCCTGCAGTGGTGACTAGTTGCCTGTCTCAGCTGCTTGGAGCACTCAGCCCATTCCTGATGGAGCCTCACTGTTTTCCAGCATCTCTCGAGGTGTTGTCTGCCGTGTGTTCAGTTCTCTCTGACACTCATCTTATGCCTTAGTGCATCTTTAGTGATCCGAACAACTCCCAGTCAGGACTTTCTGCTAAAATGACCATGATGAAAATGATATTGCTTAAAAGGTCTTTACAGTCATTCTTCTGATGTTATAGTACTCTAAAAAAGTACAGATGTTAGAATTGTGATATAACAAGTCTCTTTTATTCTCAAACTGTTTGTGAATAATTAAACTGGAAAGTTTATACTCTTATTCTTCAAGTTAGTTAGTGTACTCTTAGTATTGTATTACCATCTAGTTTCTAATTTACATTTAATACCTTAGTAGTGTTAATTCATTATTGAATGTCTACAGTTGTCATTAGAGCAGTATTCTATTCTTGTAACAATCAGCATATATGTCGACCTCACCTGATTGACTCTGTTCACATGCTAGAATGAAAGGAGCTGGTTTTCTGGGACAGATTCTCAATCACTACACTTTTGATGTCTCAACAGTGTCTAGATACTGCTACCTAGCCCGTTCAGGGCTGAAATCCCCATGGCTGAGGATCGCTGCTGCTTTGAGACAGTACCTTAGCTTTTGAAATGTAGTTCATTCTTCTCACACAAGAATTAATGGTACAATAATATCTACGGGGCTTTTGTGGACTGGTTTTAGTGCTTTACCTTGAAGTAAATGTCACAATTTCTGTCTCAAGAGGACAGAGATATCGGAGAGGTTGCCTCTTCACAGACAGCGTGACTCATCTCGTTTGGCCTCCTGGCTGATTACCTCCCTTCCAGAGCTCCCCAGGTTTACCTGGAAAGGCTGAATCTTTTTTTTTTTTTTAACCTTGTTTTCCATTTTAAATGGTCCAGGTAGTGGCCTCTTTGACCTTCACCAGTCACTACACTGGCATCCATTTATGGCTTTCAGAATGTTCTCTTTGTATTTGTGTGGTTGTAGGCTTCTAATGTTGTATTTATTTGCTGTCGTTTGTAGAGTGCCTTCAGATGGAACAGTGGGAGGCCATGCCTTCTTTCCATCTCTCAACTGTCTTCTTAAAGCTGCTTGATTTTTTTTTTTTAAAACAGCAAGCCCTGGTGAAGAGCAGTATTTCAGTTCACTCGTCTACTTTGGGAAGTGTGGTGCTTCTGACTTCTCCACTTGTACTCTTTCTCTTAGAGCTCATTATCCCGGAACCTACACAGTATGGAATGCAAAGATGTCAGGGAAGAAGCTTTGGTCATCTGAAGATTTTAGCACTATTAACAGTAATGTTGGCGCAGGCTGTTGGGGTCGTATATTGAACCAGAATTACATCAATGGCAATATGACTGCGTAAGTTATTTACAATCTTTTGGGGGCTTTTATTATAATGAATTTTAGAAAACACAGTAAATAGAAAAAAATGAATCATTGTAATTTTATATCCTAGATTCAGTGGTTATAAACATGTGCTTTGTTGACTTAATCTACATATGCCTAGTATTTGTCTAATCTATTTGTTTTTTTCTGTATTTGAAAGAGCCTGTATTAAGTAAAGTTGAGTCTATTTGGGTACAGTTTACTCAAGTAGCACAATGATTTTTGATAATTTACATATATTTTAAATTACTTTGTCATATTATGCCATCATTTTTAATATGTCTCTCTAAAACAAGGATATTTCCTCACATGACCACATCATTTTCATGAATATGAGCATATGAAATATTTCTGTGTTTTTAAATGTCATTTGTAACGTTTTTATTTTAACAAAGGATATAGCACATTTTTGTGCATTGCGTTTAGCAGTTTTGGTCACAAAGTCTCTTTTAATGTAGAATTGTTACCTACCCTTCTTTCATAACTACCTTTAAAGTAAAATAAAAACAACAAACAAACAAACAAACCAGGGCCGCAGCCTTTACTTGGTACCTCCTTCCACTCTGACTGTTCGGCTCCCTTAACTTTATCTAACTCTTCACAAAACGAAGTTAATAAAGAACAGAATCCCTTCCGTTATTAAAGGGGATGCTTCCTAAGTGCTTTGATGACAGCTTAGGCGTAATTAGATGTAAAATTAGCCTTATGACTATGAGTATAATAAAAACAAACCAATATGCATACTTTTGTGGTGGTTCGTTTGGTGTTAAGATAATGAAAATGAAGATATGTACAAAGAGTGAAGCAAAGCTGTTTATCCTTCCTGTCTCAAAACAGTGGCCCTAAAAACATTCTCCCGTTTTTATATAATTTTAAATATGAAATTGATACCTTAGCATATGATCTGTTGAGTAAATTGCTTTTTATCTAATAAGGTATTATGACTTTATTCTCTCATATTAAGTATATGTTTACTTTATGCCTTTTTCCCATGGTTCTTGTCTTGTTTTGTTTTCTTGAGACAGGGTCTTCCTATTATTGCTCAGGCTGGCCTTGAACTCTCCCCAGTACTGAAATTATAGACTTGCACCACCACATCGCCATACTATCAGACCTCCATATTCTGACACATAAAGAAGTATTTCTTAACTTGGCCCTGTTGTAAGAAGTTCTGCAGTACTTGTTATACTGATATGTAGGCAGCTTCTCAGACTTCCAGGGTCCTGGAACTTGTATATCTGGTCAGTACTCATGGCTATTCTGATGATGCCCACGTTGGGAAGCACCAGTGTACAAAACAGAGGAGGCCATGCATGTGTGACCCAGATCGGGAGAGCTCTTATGATGTCCATTGCTTGTGTGTCTCTGTGTATGTTTAATCAGCATTATTAGTTTCACCTTACAATAAGGTAATGAGAAGGGTTAGAGTTTCTAAGAGGGCCAGAGTAGCTTTGTGTGTTGGGAGAAAAGTTGGTTAGAGAAGTGAAAATCTCTGGGTGAATGCTGTTTGTTTTTAGCTGTATGGAAAACAGCCAGATGTAAAAACTTAGGTTTTATGCTTGAATTTTTTGAAAGCTGTAGGGCCCCAACTCTGCTCCTGGAGCTCAGTATGTGCTGCAAAAGATTAGTGTCTTATCATCTGAGGAGAGGCCTAAAGCCAGGCCAGCAAGCTGACCCAGTTAGTACACCAGCAGAAGCAGAAGTGAGAGGCTGGAGTGGCATCAGTGTGTGTCATGTTCCCAGCCACCTACTGATTCACAACTGTCATCATCCTGTTACCACATGTGAGGGAACAGGGTCAGAAGAGATTAGCTCAGGGAACCCAAACAGTCTGACTCTGAGTTATCATCTTACCACTGCAGCGGTCAGTCCCAAGTTAAGTTCATCAAACTGTCTGTGAAACTGGGGTACTAGGAAAGCTGGCAGAGGGAGGGCAGGTCCAGAAAACGCTTTTACTTGTACTTGTTTCAAATAGTTGACACGTCAAGCATGGTTCACCTTTTGGCCTTATCACTGTTAAACAGAATCCTTGTGTGTGTGTGACTTTTAATTCTCTGATTAACCATTAAAATGTTTGGATGAATGCTGAACTGGATTTTTATAAATGGGAGTGAACCGAGACAACATGTATTGTGTTTGGGGCACTTAAAAGTTAATGTTCATTTACTTAAATATAATTATGAAGGATACTTTTGCTTCAGTCATTTAGATATAATTTATGATATACACACACACACACACACACACACATATATATATATATATGTATATATATATATATATACATACATATATATGTCTTTTTTTCTGTTTTAGCACAATTGCTTGGAATTTGGTGGCTAGTTATTATGAAGAATTGCCTTATGGACGAAGTGGATTGATGACAGCTCAGGAGCCGTGGAGTGGATATTACGCAGTAGCATCTCCTATCTGGGTATCAGGTGTGGATGTCTAGATTCTATCTCTTTCTCCACAAATTCTTTTTAAGAGACAAACCAGAGAGCACCAAAGGAGGTTATACAAACTGTCCATCCTTTAAGTGTGTGACTAGTTTAAGGGATCCCTGCCAGTGTTTTATAATATTATTTTGGGTAACCTGATTGCTTTCTGTATTTTGTACTGTATTATTCTAAGTCTAGGCCTTTAAAAAAGGAGGAAAAAGGGAAAGGCAAGCAGCCCAGGGAGTGGGGATGTCCAGTGATGGAGACAGAGGTGATCGCTCAAGAATATGATCCCACATCATGATAATAGCTATAGAATGAATATACTTATCCTTATATTCAGCTCAGTGTATCTAGAAGTTTTGAGATTATTCTTTTATGTCAGTTCTGGTTTATTCATTTAATTTCACCAGTTGTTCAGGAAGCCTTCCCACAGATACTCTTTTCACCTGAAAAATTTAAAAATGGAAGCATAAACTTGAGAGATACTTTCTGAAAATGACTCTAGTTGCTTAGAATCAATCAGACTCAAGTTTGTCAGCAGCGATTGTGTTTTAACGTTGTCTCATTCGCATTCTTTTCTGCTTTTCTGTAGCTCATACCACTCAGTTTACTCAACCAGGCTGGTATTACCTGAAGACAGTTGGTCATCTAGAGAAAGGAGGAAGCTACGTAGCTCTGACTGATGGCTTGGGGAACCTCACCATCATCATTGAAACTATGGTAATTGTTCGTTGTTAAGACTCAGTTAGTGGGGATCTCATATTTTACCAGAAACGTTGTCTTCAGACAGAAGGATATTGTGTTCTTCTGGGCATAGAAGGGCATGTTTTCAAGGGTCTTCTGACTGGCTCCCTGGGAGAAAGGTTCGAGAAGGCTGGTGGTTACCTTGCTCCTTCTGTTGTTTTAGGACATCTTTCTTTTTAAAGATATATTGGTGTAAAGTAATGACTGATCCTTCCGACCAGCCCCATGCTATCAAAATAAGACTCAGACTTAAAATATATTTATAAAAACTTTGGCCGTTTGACCTTTGCAAGGTCATTCTATTATTAGATCATAACTTAAATTATCCCATTTATTCTAGTCTACATTCTGTCATGTGGCTGGTTACCTGTGCTCAGGTACCATGTGTCCGTCCCCTCACATCTTCCTAGGAGGATCTCCTCCCTAGCTCTATCCCAGAATTCTTTCTACCTATTGGCTGTCCCACCTTCTATTCGATCCTTTTCTATAGGCCATAGATTTTTTTAATTGACAGGTGATACATCCATAAAATACACATATTTTCTCTACAATACATTGGAATAACTGGTGAACACGTGTCAGTTCTTTTGTGTTTGTAACTAGGAATGGGGCTGCCAAGGTAAATAGTAACTAATGTGAAGAGCCGCCGGTTGCCTGTACTAGTTTTCCTTGCTACCAGCAGTTCATGAGGCTTCCAGTATCACCTCGTCCTCTGAGCAGTTATTGTCCATTTCCTTGCTTATAGCCCTTCTTGAGGCTGTGGGGTGGTGTCATTACCATTTTTTTCTTTTCCTAGTGACTGGTTATATATTTTTTGGTTATCTATATGTTTTTACTGGAGAAATGTCTATTTAAATCTTCACTGCCCATTTGCGAGTATTCTTAGTTTTCTTCTTGAATTTCAAGAGTTTTTCATATAATCTATCTAAAAGCCCCCCCTCAGAAGACACATGCAGCTGTAGTGTATAGTTTCTACTACCCTGCTTTAAGCTCTGGGCAGACTGCCATCACACTGGTTCTCTTGGATCTGTGGATGAAAGACATACATACTCACAGGTTATTTTTAATATGTGTTTTAGCTCAATGGCCCAGCCTTGGTGGCTAATGTGTCCTTACCTTCACTCCCAGATCAACACCTCTAAATCTGTTCGCAGCTTAGTTGCTCAGTTACCTTTAGTCCTAGTTCAACACCTCTAAATCTGCTCTCACCTTAATTGTCTGGTTACCTTCTTCTTGTTCAGTACCCTAAATCTGCCCTCAGCTTAGTTGTGTTTCTAATCTCCTGCCTGCACACAGAAATGCTATAAGTCTACAAGGAGGGGAGAATTGATTTCTCAGTGAGCTGAGCCAAGTCATATGGCTCCAGCAAAAACTAAAACAAAGAAACCTGCCAGAGAGAGCTTAAGCTAAGAGGCTGGGAGCTGGTTTCCTGAACGCTAGAAGGGAGGCAGTGAGAAACAAACAATAAAGCTGCCTGTCTCCCCCCAGCAAAATATCAAAGGATAGATTTTTAAAATTTGATTTAACTGTTTTTAAGGATAGTATGGAGTATAATAATAATTGCTTAATTGTTCTTAAATATACAGAGATTAAGCTCCACAGAAGAGAGAAGTTAGGAAAGAATAATATAATAAACAAAAGGAAATTTAAATAAAGTAAAATACAGAGAAATAAAAATATTGAGACATTCGATCTTAAAAAAAAAGTAGATCAAAGGCAGGGTGTAGGAAACCTAGGCTATCTCAGACAGTAAAAATTTAGGCCTTAAGAATTATATAAAGAGAGAGCCTAGAAATAGGCTTATATAATAAACAAAAGGAAATTTAACTTTACATTATATAAATAATTTAGGCCTTGATCTCATGAAGGCTAGGATGGGACAATAAAAACACTGTCTCATTGGTTAATATTTGTTTAGATTGCTTTATTTGCTTTAACTTGTTTTAATTATCAAAATAAGTGTGATTATGAGTTTGGTGGTTATATTAAATTCCTCTGAGAGAAAGGTCAAGCTAAATGTTTAATGATTTCTGGTTACTGGACCAAAGACGTGTGATTTTGGGAGAGAGGCTCTATGTTTGTTTTGACAGGAAAGGAGAGAACCCCATCCAGAGTCATATGGATCAGATTTGACAGGGGAAGACCCTCTAAAGAACTAAAAATGTTCAAAAAAATCAAGCAAGATGGATAAAGATTCATCATCCCATCCTTCACATGACATAAAGACTTATTATAATTGGTTATTAATAAAATGAGCTCATAAAAAAGAAAGCCGTCTTTCACCTACTCCAAGAACAAAATTTCATCCTTAATTGATCTATATACTCTACACAAGTTATACAAATATCTTAATGATACTAAAAGTTTGGTCGTGAGGTTCATATTAAACAAAATGTTCAGCTTTGGTGAGATTCATCTTCAGATATGCTAAACTGTCCCTCTTGGTCCCCTGCTTCTGGTTGTTCCCTAAAACAGCTTCTGAGATTGCCGCTGATTTCAGGTCATCTTACCTTATCCAACCTTTCAGACAGATCCAGTTAAAACTTTAGTCAAGCTCTAACCCTTCCACACATACAGATACTAGATAACAGATGCTAAAGCTAACTTTCTGAAATTTACCCAGTTTTTCTAATTTTCCTACTCCTCCTCACCCCTTTAAAAAATTTCTCAACACCCCTATTCCACAACAGAAAGAGCTGTAGAGAGTTGTCAGCCTATTTCCCTGGGATTAGGTGTCTGTATTGTTAGTTTACAAATTATAGATGAATTGTCATTTTAAGAAATAATTTAAAAATGGTCATAATTTTAAACAAGAAAAAAAGAGGTAAGCTAAATTTATTCTTAAACAAAACACTATATAGCCATAATCTTACATTAATAAAATTCTTTATAATTGTTTTCAGTTTACTCAAATAAAAATGACTAAGAGTAGTTAAGGTTTAACAGTTCAAAAATACTTTACTTTGTCTTCAAAAACATAAAAAAATCCATAAAATATGTTATTTCATTATTAAAGATCTTTTGATTATGAGACATATCTGCTCCTGAGAGCTCTCTAGCGCGCTCTCCCCCTCCCCCCTCCCTCTCCCCCTCCCCTCCCCCTCCCCTTCCCCTTCCCCTCCCCTCCCTCCCTCCCCTACCCCCCTCCCCTCCCTCCCTCCCTCCCTCCCTCTCTCTTGTTTTTCCAAGACAGGATTTCTCTGTGTAGTCCTGGCTGTCTTGGAACTCACTGTAGGCTGGCCTTGAACTCACAGACACACCTGCCTCTGCCTCCAGAGCTGTAACTAAAGGCTTGGGCCACCAACTCCCAGCTGAGAAGCCAGTTTTAAAAACATTAGATAACATTCTAGATGGAACTTTTTGTTTTTGTTTTTGTTTTTTGAGACAGGGTTTCTCTGTGTAGCCCTGGCTGTCCTGGAACTCACTCTGTAGACCAGTCTGGCCTCGAACTCAGAAATCTGCCTGCCTCTGCCTCCCAAGTGCTGGGATTAAAGGCACGTACCACCACTGCCCTGCTGTTCTCAGATTTCTAACGTGGTTAAAGACTAGTTATAGTCTCATAATCAAACTCAAGTTGTTAGCATTGAGAGAGAGGTTATAAAATAAAAGACAGTTTTCAGATAATATTACAAACTAAAATCTAAACATAAGTCAAAGATAAAATTGTAACTTTTTAAGTTATGAATGATGGTAGAGTACTTTATTAATTGACAAATGTGGACTAGATATTAATTATATATCATACTTTGTAATTTACATGATTGTTATAGTTTTGTAGTTTTGTTCAATTTATGTCTGAGAGAAGGGTTTTGTTGGTTTTTTTTTTTAATTGGACAAAAATGGTGAGATGTAGGGTATGTGTGTGAACGCTAAAGGTCCTGTTTCCCAATTGGTTGTTGATTGATCAATAAAGATGCTACTGGCCAATGGCTGGGTGGAAGAGGCGGAACTTCCAGGTTCCCTCAGGCAGGGTAGGAGACAGTGGTGGTGGCGGTTGGGGTGGGTGGGTGGGGGAGGAAAATTCACCGTGCTTCAGAGGGCTAGAGAGCCACGCAGTGTGCCATGTAAGCTCTCGGATGGAGTGGTCATTGGCTGCTTCCTTGACTGGGCCTGGGGGAGCAGATTGGAGAATAGAAACGCAACTAAGCTGAGGGCAGATTTAGGGTGCTGAGCTAGGATTAAAGGTAACTGAACAATTAAGCTGAGGGCAGATTTAGCGGTGTTTCTGGGAGTGAAGATAAGGGCATATTAGCCACTGAAGGCTTAGAAATGCCCGGCCATTGAGCTAAATGTGTAGTGACACGACCACCATCAGCGTAGGTACCTCAAATGGGGGTCTGGGAATTAAAGGGCAAGAATAAGAGAAGAATGGAGCCAAGGCAAAGTTATGATCAAGGCTCAACTTTATTGCAAAGCAGCAGGCTTATAAAGGCAGAAACCACCATGAGGAGAGCAACAATACCAACCAACCACAGCTCCCAGGGTCCTAACCACCAGCCTGGGAGCACTTATGGAGGGATCCAGGGCTTCAGCTGAATATGTAAGAGTGGAGGGCCCTGCTGGGCATAGGTGGAAGAGAACCTTGACCTCATGAAGGCTGGACGCCCCAGGGGGTGGGAATTTTGAGGGTGGGGAAGTGGGAGTGGGGGGGGTAGGTGGGGGTTACATCCACGGAGAAGAAGGAGGAGGGGTAAGGGGATGGGGGGTTCCCGGGTGGGTGGGGTATGGGGTAAGGGGATAACATATGAAATGTAAATAAAATATCCAATAAAAAAAAAAAATAAAGGCAGAAACCATAAGCCCAGCCCCTAGGCGTGATGACATACATCACCTCATGCCTGCAGCCAGAGGTGTAGGTTTCCATTTCTCAGCACGGGTCTCTCTTATCAGGCCAAAAGCGGAACTCCCAACTTGGGCGGGAAAATGCCACTAAGTGCTGTGATAACAAAAACAGCTGATACACGGCAACTCCTGCT